CTTTACTGAGAAGCAGTAATGAAAATAAGAAGATGGTAGTTCAAATATACCAATGTTTTGAGCTGATATTAAAGATGTGACTAGCTAGTAACATCACTGATTTTTAAAGTGCTAAACATTTTATTTCATTGTCTCTTTCAAAGTGGCCAATTTGATGTATTATAATGTTGAAAATACTTTTGAATCTTTTTCGACTTGTCTTCAGAGATTATATCATATCTTATCAGTTAATGCTAGGAATTAATGCTAGGAAACCATATTCTGAGTGTTTTTGAAGTGTTGAAACAGTCAAATAGGATTAATACATTTGGTTAAATTTGGGGATAATAACATTTTGGCTAAAAATGTATCATGACCATATGGTGATGATGTCTCATCTTAAGAGGGTTCGTAAGATGGTTCTAACATTTTTAAAGCTTGGAAATAGAAATGTAAACAGCAACCTAGATATTGAGATTTTCAGTACAGTCTTTAGCAGGTAAACTGTAAGGTAGTGAATGGCAAGACATATTCAGTTAGCCTGAAGCATGTTTGGGTGAGAGTGACACCCTTTAACTTACATTCTGTTAGTTCTGACATTGGATAAACACAAAAACAATAAAGCACACAGATCACATTTCACATTTACTCTATATCTGTCAACACAAAATTATTGTGCAGATATAATGATACTATTTATTTATTTATTTAGAGATAGGGTCTTGCTCTGTCACCCAGGCTAGAGTGCAGTGGTGTGATTATAGTTCACTGCAACCTCAAACTTCTGGGCTCAAGCAATCCCCCTGCCTCAGCCTCCTGAGAGTAACTGGGAGTACAGGTGTGTGCCACCACGTCCAGATAATTTTCCTATTTTTTGTAGAGATAGGGTCTCACTATTTTGCTCAGGCTGGTCTTGAACTCCTGGCCTCAAACTGTCCACCACCCTCAGCCTCCTAAGGTGCTAAGATTACAGGCATGAGCCACCAGACTAGGCCTATAATAATCTCTTAATACTCTGAAATTAGATTACAAGGGAAGAACCATGATTTCAGGAAAAATACAGCAGGTCCTTGAATAATGTCATTTTGTTCCACGTTATTTCATTATAACACTGATGAGGAAAACAGAATTAATTCCCAGCAGGCCACAGTCTGTGTGGAGTTTGCACATTCTCTCATGTCCGTGTGGGTTTCCTCTGGGAACTCTGGTTTCCCCCCACATACCAGAGATGTGCATGTTAGGTGAACTGGTGTGTCTGGATTGTCCTAGTGTGAGTGAGTGAGGGGTTGGAGGTGGGCATGCCCTGCAATGGGATGGTGTCCTGGCCAGGGTAAGCTCCCACCTGGCACGCTGAGCTGCCAGGATGGGCTCCGGCCACCCATGACCCTGAACTGGAATAAGTGGGTTGGAAAATAAATGAATGCATGAATACAAATTATTGTAAAATAAACATTCATAGAGTCTACAATAATCATACAAATACACTATAATATGCAATACTATAGGAAAGTGCTCAGCGAGCACACCATGTTTGTTACTGTTTGTTTTTGAACTGCATGTGGCAGAAGATGCAGCTGAGAATTGTTGCTTTGCAAACATTTATTCCTTGATTTATCCTACCACTATGACAACTGCTGTCACTCACAGATTTACTAAAATTTGATTAATAATTCTGTTACCTGTTTTTATCAATCTTTCTTAAACATATACATAGCCCACAATTTATTTCACTGTTTAATATTAGAAGTGTTTGAGTCTTTATTTAGAAGTTTGGTGATGTTTTTGTAACCAGAACTATGCCATAGGAACTTAACTTTTGTTTATTTCAATTAGTTTATGGTAAAATTGGTTTTGTGATATATGTTTTGCTTAAAATACCAGTTTTCAAGAACCTATCAACAAGGTTAAGTGAGGACTTACCCTACAATCAAATGCTCCACTCTTGTCTTTTTGTTGCAAGCATGGCAATAATTGGAGATTTTCACCCCACTGGTTCAGGATAGCTATATATATATCTCGGTCAATTATGTTTTGAAAAAAGAAAAGAAAAGCTAAGTGGAGCTAATTTAAACAAATGTTGAAATTGTAAAAGGAATAATAAGCATATAAGATAACTCATTGAACCTGAGAACTGTCTGTGCAGTTGGACCTTGCAAAGACTATGAGTAAGAATGGAAGGCATTGGCCATTCTTCTTCTCTACAAACACACCTTTCTCTCCTCACTGTGCTCGTGGCTATCCCCACCATTAAAATTCCTATGCCCTGTTATTTTGGTTGACAGGCTTAGACTAACATGGAATTTCAAGGAATTCAGTGATAGATGATTGGCTCAGCCAGGGCCAGGCTTCCCCCAATCAGGGCAGCTGTGGCCAGGGGCGCAGGGTCCTGGAGCACACAGAGCTGCAACTGAGCCCGCTCTGCTTGTGGGGGGAAGGTTGGAGGGCTGGTGTTTAGAAAAGGGGAGCTCGTGAGCTAAGCATGTATCCCAAAGTGTGCCTGCTGTACCATATTAAAATAAAATTCAAGTAATACTTTAAACAAGCTAGTCAACATGAATCTTATGCTTGGGCCACATGCTGTTTCTTTCTAGAATAATTAAATGTTGTTTCATGACATAGTCTTTCCATTTCATAGCTTTAAAAATTATATACAGTGGGAAATACTGTCCTTGGAGTATATTTCAGTGATTGAATTCTTTTAAGAAGGAATTTGAATTTTTTTTTTCAATCAACCAAAGTTTATACACATTTAGAGTTCCTTTTGCTTAACTAAGTATTCAAGAATTCAGTAACACTGTGTCTTGAGCTCTTTGGTGCAGAAGCATTGCATGAATAAATGCAACAATTACACTTGTCTCAGTCTTATCTGAGTCTGTGGGAATGATCAAACAGTTTCAAAAGGTTAGGTGACTCTAACTGATGGAACTAATGTCCATCTGTGTAAAAGCAGACATTTTGAAAATGTCCCCATCTTCATTGTGATGAATCAACCTAGAAGTCATTTACCAATCTGTCCTCTCCTTCCTGACTCTTCTACCAGCTGTGCCACTGAGTTACCATGATACATGGCTGCATACAAACATCCACTTAATATAAATAATTACTATTACTTTTAAGATGTATTAATCAAAGATCCGTACCTTGTGCAAATTTTATTCTGAAACAGGCAGTGTTGATTACCTCAGGATCAAAAATTGGTTTTTTTTTTCTAAATCCACTTTCTATCTTGGCAAGTATCAGACACTTGACACAATCCCATTTATTTGAGTCCACATCCCTATAATAATTATAGAAAGAGGAAAAAAAAACTTTTTGACCTAATAATTTTTTTAAGAGTTAGAACAAATTTACATAAGCTACAACTCTAAACATGCTTCATAATTACAGATATAAGCAGATGTACATAAAGATATGGAGTGCTGACAGGAAATAAAATTCAGAGACAGAAATCTCTAAGTAACCAAACATTTTTATCCTTCTCTGGTTTAGTCTAATACTAATCCCTCAAGGCTAATTTGGTCCAGATAGAATCTTATTCAGAAGGCTCAGTAAACAGAATCTAAAAGCCTTCCCACGAATATTAGGCACGCTTATTTTTCACATAGAAAGGTAAAGCTATTTATCTTTTGTCTTTCACACTGTGTGACATCTTAATAGGAGATTTAAGGGAGGTGGTTACATTTTCCAATGGTGACTATGTATGTTCGCAGCACTTTACATGTAATATCTCATTTAATCTTTATAATAATCTCATTGTATACATGGGGAAACTGAGGCTCTGAAAATGTTCCTTCCCAAGATTATCCCCTAATGTGTAAAACTATATATGTAAAATTCATCTGTACTCACACTCTTTCTCACATATGAAATTGAAAAGGGGGACTTATCCAGTCAATAGGTATTATTGTTCGAAATATGTATGGCATGACACTCAATGTTGTTACTGGACTAAAGGATAATTACATATTAGCATTGATCATGGAAAGAGAACACTAGAAGACAGAATATATAATTTCTAGATTTGGCTTAGACACAAGCTAGGTGTGAGATCTGGGGCCAATAATATTTACAGGCCTCAGTTTTCTTACTCCATTTATCTAATGTGTCCTCTGATCCCTCCTCATTCTATGTACACTTGTCCCTTTTGTGTTTTATCTTAATATATAAGATAAGAAATAACAGATATAAGATATGATATAAATATAATATAAAAGAAATATTGCTCTTATTTGTTTCCCATTTGTTTGGAAACTGAGATTCAAGAAAGTAAATACCTCCCTCCTCTGATTATGATCAAGAAACTAAATACCTCCCCATCCCCCACCTCTGCTGTGCTCCCAGTGCTTAGATTAGGCTCTGAAATTTCAAAAGCACTCAGTAAACATCTGTGAAGTAAATGAACTAAAAGGAGTGAGTATAAACTGTTAGAGAAAAAGGGGGCAGAGTACCTACCCCATTATGGTACTTTTCCCTTTGTGCAGTCATTTTGTTTATTTGTCTGTATCTCCCACTGGGGACTGAGACTGGGGTTGCTATCACAATTATATCCACACCCGCACTGGAACAGTGTCTGGCCCTGCCATATGATAGGCCTTCAATAAATGAAAATTGTCATAAAATCTGAAAACTTAGGGCTATTTACTTGATTATCATCTGTAAGTTCTTCATGCGGGGAAGTAGGTTTGAATATCGGTGTATGTTTCTTCAAAGACACATTTACAAAACAATCACAGAAGATTATAACTGAGATTAAACCAGAGCAAATTAAGGAAAATAAAAAGTACGATAAAGTAAGTATTTCCCTGTATTTCCAGACTTTTGAGGTATCCTGAATTTCTCGGATGTGTGAAAGAATGGATGCATGAGCTAACTAAAAAACTCTAATCAAAACTGTAATTATTAAGTAGATCCTACTAGTTCTTTACTTGGTCGGTAACTCTTAACGCCTAAGCCAGGTGAGTTTGTGTTCTTTGCCATTAAACCAGAACCTGTTCATTTTATGTGGTTGTTTCCTTCCTTAGTCTGTGAATTTCTGGTACGTGCTGGTGATGAATGATGAACACACAGAGAGGAGATATCTGCTGTTTTTCCTTCTGAGTTGGGGACTTCCAGCTTTTGTGGTGATTCTCCTCATCGTTATTTTGAGAGGAATCTATCATCAGAGCATGCCACAGATATACGGACTCATTCACGGTGACCTGTAAGTACATCCAGGCGACATGTTGCCTTCTGAGCTTTCTTGTACCTAAGCAGTTATATTAGTAGACGGTGGAAGCAGTTGCTCAAGATACATGATCGAAGGAGTGGCAGGAAGGTCTTAGCTTTCCAGCCAGACTGTGTGAAGCTCTACTTCCTCTAATTATGCCTTTAAATAAGAAACTGTTATTGCCTCTCCAGTTCCTGTGATGGATGCAATTTTCTCGAGTAGGCATATCAAACAATTCACAGTAGTTTGTACCTGAGCATAATTTAGTTTATTAAAGACAAGTAATAATATCTAGTGAAATAAGAGCATTGACAATGAAAAAGTGAAAAAAATTTGGAGTGTGGCATATTATCTAAGGAGAGGAGTATATTTTTAGGAGCGAGGAGTGGCAGGTACCATCACCCATAAGATCCCAGAATACCAAAAGACTGTATCAGAGTGAATAGAGTGTCTGCAAAAGTGTGTAAAAATGAAACAAGGTCAACTTTGTCCTTCTTAGATATTCTTGTTAAATACACACGTGATTTAATACTAAATCTAATAGCTTATAGCTTTGAGGACCACTCAGCCTCTTTAATTAACACCCCATGCAGAGGGCAGAAAAAAACCTTCTGTTGAAATAAAACTTAACCAGATCCCTTAGTCAAAATTAAGGTAAGAGAAAAAGTAAAATTATAAAAAAGAATAGCCTCTTCACAGTCTTCACGGTATTATGAGGACAATATGAATATCTCACAGGCTATTGCAAAGCTAAAAATTAGTTAATAGACATGAAAAATCTTTGAAAGTACTCATATAAACAGAAGTCATGTTAATAGCATTATTGCTTCTGATCAATTATATACTTAAAAAAATACTTGTTATTGATGTAGGCAAATGTATTTCACACATGGGCAATCACAGGCACATATCTGTACCATTCAGCCAAAGGAGACCAGCTATGTAACACACATGCTTAAACATGCAAACACACACACATATTGATATATTACATGTAGTCAATTTCTTTTTTTATTTAAATTCAAGAAGATTCCCTCATATTGATTATAGTATTATAATGCAGTTTGTACATATGAAATTCCAACATACTATGATCTTCTAGAAAGGAATTATGGTGTCTTTTCAGAATTAAATTATGACTTTTCACATTTTACTACCCTTAGCATTAATTTAAATCTTGGGCTGCCAGGATTAATTTCAGAAAATTCTGCATCATTCTTTGTTAAATACAAAGTAACCACGAAACAAGCCCTGGTGGCCAACAGCCCATTCCTTCCCCCTGGTAAGATAGGACTTATTTGGGGACAGTTTGAGCACTACATGTATACCCACCTAACCTTAATAAATGGGATTTGATGAAAGTAATGTTAATTAGAAGAAATTCTCTATTGATGCTTCTAAAAGGAATTTTAAAGGGAAAAATAAACTATTACAAAAAAATCGCCAAACTTAAAAATTTGCCTTCTTAAGCTTTTGCAAAATATTCTGTATGACCAGCTAAATTATAATAAGCAAAATGTAAAAAAATTGTATTCACTTCTACCTAGTTTTAATTTCTTATTTCATATAAGAAATAAATTTTCTTATATATACATAAAAGATCAAATTCTAGTTTACCAAGACTAATGGATTTTTGCATCTAGATTTAAATCACACAACCTGATCTGAAGAAAAGCCTAAAGAGCCTATAAAATTTAAAATTTTACTTTTTTTAAAGTAAAAACCTGATATAGATTTATTATTGATTCCTTGTCACCAAGCCAGACAATCCAATGGATCTATGAGGAATCATACTCTACTAAAAGCTTGATAAAAGAAGGCTCCAATACCTTCAAACTTTTCTAAAAGATATATTCATCAACTTTTGAAATTAGGGCTAGAAATGCTTCCCACTTTCTTTTTATCTTATAATTGAACAGAGCTTAGCTATAATAAAATAAAGGCAAAAGTAAATGAGTGATTGCCTTGAGTGATTGCCATTCATTACCAGAAGTAACTCTATTGAGAGTACTCGTAAGTAGGCTCTGTTGAGTAGCTTATAGTGAGTGTCTTTGGAAGTAGTCACCTGTTTTTCCTGGGTTAGCTTCTTGGCTGGTTTAGGTAAGAAAACAAGCTAAAAGAGACTTTATCATGCAAAGTACAGGGGAAAGAAAATATAGTACTGAGTCAAGAGCCAGCGTAGAAGTAAAGAGTGTGGTCCTGAGTAGTATCCCTAAATAGAGAATATGTCATTAATCTGGGACCCTGTTTTATGAATACTGATAGAGTAATTGGAGTAAGTCAGAGCCATGCCATATGGAGGTGACGACAGTAAAGACATGACTTCTCTTGATCTCATTATTCTTACCTCTAAGCAGCAAGAAACCAACACATTAATAAATGTCAATAACAGTAAAAATGTTATAATGATGTTAGGTTGTTTTGCACTTCCAAAATGCTGGCTTTTTTTCTCTTTCTTGCTACTTCATATAAATTTAAACTTAAGAAAAATCAACACTTATTGGAGAATGATACATGCAAAGGACTAAGTGAATTCTCTTTTGTCTATTTAAGCCTAAAATTTGTTTGATCATAATGAAAAAATTGCATAACTTCTTAACTTAATTTTAAAATTGATTAATTTAGTTGTTCAGTATTTCAGTTTCTTAGGATTTCAGCATCATGCTTTACTTTAGATATTCTGAACAAATCTTTATTATAACCTACTCTGATTATCCTGCTCCTGAACTGAATTATCAATTTTTCCAAGTCCTCTGAAAACAATCTAATTTTGCAAGCTATATTAGGAGAAATGTTATTAATACAGAGGACAAATCTCTGTATTCTAAATTGGAACTAAGTGGAATTTATTGTACTCTATGGGAAATATGATACATGAGAGAGCCATCATTTTCATTAAATTACTTTAAAAGGGAATCATAAAAAATTGTTTACAAGTATACAGTGCTTGCTTACCTATTGTCTGAGAGGTGAAGAAAGTTGCTATACGTCTATGGAAGATGAATATTGGCAGGATCTCTTCATGGATTGGGTATTATTGGGTATTATTATTGCCTGTGGGTGTGCATGTGTACACACACAGAAACAAATACATGCATACATAAGTAGCACCTTTAGACTACCATTTTCCATCTATTCAGACCCTCACATAAAGAAATCTTGAAAGTATGCTTCCCCATAAGGTCTTAGAATCTTATAGAATCTAAGGGCTGGAATCTAAGGGTTGGAAATTTTTTAGCTTCCTTTAATAAAGTTTCAGGCATGTCCTCAAAAGCTTATCATGATTCAAATTCCTGCTCAAAGACTTGTTCGCTTCTTGAACTGCTCATTCTAAACATACCCAGTTTATATGACTTTTTATGCCTAGTGATTATGCAACTCCTGCAAACACTCACCTCGTTCCCTTATCTCCGTTTACAGTATTATCTTTCTTAGCAAAGCCTCAGCTTTTCTAACTACTGCTGTACCTCTCTGAGAAAAATTCCAACTAGCATTTTGAGTTACATCCCTCATGGCTTCTCTTAGTTCCAGGATCCTCCTCTTCGCACACAAGGTATAACCTAGACAAAAGGAGAGCTTTATCAAGTGTTGAATCCAATCCCCATAGAGTCCTTGAGTAACTTTCATGGCATTGTTGACAAATGTTCATTCCCTTTATGTTTGAACTCCTCCATGAGAAAGAACATATTTCCTCCCACTACTTCATCATATAGAGTAGAAAGCTATCTCTTTTAGGTTCTGGCTTAATATCTAATTGCTAGGTTCATACAGAACAAACAAAATAACATAGTATTTTCCAAATGATAATCCTTTAAATATTTATTATAATTCTTTTTTCTAAGCTAAACACTTCTGATTTGTTCAAATAGTTTCTCATATGATCTTTCCATGATTTTGGTAACTCTCATCTAAACTTGTCCTATGTCAATTCTTCTTCTTTTTTTTACATTTTATTTTAAAGAATTTAAACATATAGAAAAGTTACAAAAATTATACAGAGAGTTCACAAATACCCTTTGTTCAGAGTACATCATACTTACATAACAATAGTACAATGATCGAGACCAGGAAATTAACAATGATAAAATACTATTAACTAAACTACAGACCTTGTTCAAATTTCACCAGTTTTTCCCCCATGTCCTTTTTCTGTTCTGAAATCCAGTGCAGTATGTCATAATGCCTTTGGTGCTTGTGTGTCCATGGTCTCCTCTAAAATGAAAATTTCTGTGTCTTCCCTTTTTTTACTTTTGATAAGTAATGGGCAATTATTTTATAGAACATATCCAAACTTGGGTTTTTAAAAAGTTTTCTCATGATTAAATATAGGTTATGCATTTTTGGCTAGAATGACACAGAGTGTTAAATTACAGGTTTTTTCATATGAACATATGTTTTCAATTCTCTTGAGTATATATCTGGTAGAGTTGTTGGGTCAACTTGCTACTTACAAGATTGTCTCTTTGTTTTTGTCTTTCAACAATTACATGTCTAGGTGTGCTGTCTGAGTTTATCTTTATTGAAGTTTGTTAAGCTTCTTAGATGTGCAGATTAATGTTTTTCATCCATTTGAGAAGTTTGGGCCATTGTTTCATTGAATATTCTTTCTGCCTCTTTCCCCCCTCCTTTCTGGAACTTTTATTGTGTGTATATTAGTATGCTCGATGGTGTCCCACAAAGTTCTAAGAATCTGTTCATTTTTCTTCGTTCTTTTTTCTTTCTTTTCCTCAGATTTGATCATCTCAATTGACCTATCTTCACATTTACTGATTTTTTTCTTCCTACTGCTCAAAACTGCTATTCACCTCCTTTAGTGAAATTTTTATTTTAGTTATTGTACTTTTCAAGAATTTCCATTTAATTCTTTTTTATAATTTCTATCTCTTTAAGAGTATTCTCTATTTGGTAAGACAGCGTTCTCATACATTCATTTAGTTCTTTAGAGATGGTTTCATTTATGTTTTGAACATAATTTAAAAAGCTAATTAAATAAA